CCATTCTTCATCTGTTTTAGTCTCCAGGCCTTTAATCATCTTAGTTGCTAAGATGATGAAAGGCCTGAAAGCCATCTAGAGAGGGGTAGGTTTAAGGCATCCGATAATAATTCTGCTAGCTTCATTTGATAGACCTCCAAAGTTCCTTCCAGGCCTATGGTTCTAAATGGAGACTGCAGGCTCTCCCTCTCTGGAAGTTTTTTTTTTATTTTTAAAGGCTAGACAGTCATATTCTGAGGAAGATTGATGGTCGTCCTATCTATGGTAGACTCTTTAGAATCTCTTTCAGTTTTGCAATTCCTTGATTCTGTGGTTCTGAAAATTCGGTGAAATATGCAAAGCCTAAACCAAACAAAGCACATTATAACTTCAAGTAGTGGGAGGTCTGATTGAAAGAAGCCCACCCCTCACCCCATATGTTAGGATTATCTAGTGATGCAAAGACCCTTTGGTGCAAAGGAAGGGGGGAAATGTGTGGAAGGCACACCACTGAAATAATTTTCTCACCTTCCAAACGCAATCAAGATCTAACCCAATTGCTCTGTCCACACAAACCTTTTGATGTCATGATTGAATTAACCCATTTTATGGTTACACATCCAACATATTTTACTGTTAGCTAACAGAAGTCACTTTGGTTTGCAGGAAAAGGTTATGTCTACACAAACACACACACACACACACACACACACACACACACACACAAAACCAGCCACCACGTTTCAAGTTGCATGAATGTATTATTCACGAAGGAAGGTCCCTTAACATCTCAGATAAGCCTGTTTGGCAAACAGTTAACTTAAGAGTTGGGGTGAAAGTCTGTCTACTGCTTGAAATTTGCAAAGTGAACTATTTGTGGCTCTGGGGATTTGGGCCAAAAGAAAGTTAAGGGGAAACATCATGACGTCTTTTAACGTAGAATCATACAGCTAGAAGGGACCGGAGAGGTCTTCTAGTCCAACCCCCTGCTCTAGGCAGGAAATCCGTATACCACCCCGGTCAAAGGGTTGTCCAGTCTATTTTTGAAAACCTCCAGTGACGGAGCCCTCAATCTCTGCAGTTTCTTCTGCAGAGATCCAGGTCTGCTTCTTCACAAGGCTCTCCACCCTTGTCTGAAAAGCGGGGAGCAGAATTTTTGAAAAATGGAGGTTAACCTCAGCTTGATGTATGCATTCTGTCCTCTTCTCCTTCGAACTCAATGTTCCACTTTCCCTTCTTTTTGTCCTGCTTGGGGAAATTTTAGAAACAGATGCAAAAGGCAGTTTCATACCCCTGATTTATAGCACTTCCCAACCTTGGGGTGATACGGGCGATCCCTTTATGGGCTGCTGCATCAATGCAGCAATGGTTAGGTTGTTCCAGCGATCTCTAAGGAGCCAGAAGTGAATTGCAGGAGCCGAGACCCTGGTCTCAAAATGGGGCTCAAACAGAGGTGGGTATTCAGCAGGTTCTGACCAATTCTGGGGAACGGGTAGTGGAAATTTTGAGGAGTTCAGAGAACCAGCAAATCCCACCTCTGACTGGAGATTTTATAGTATCCTTCCCCTGCCACGCCCACCAAGCTATACCCACAGAACCAGTAGTAAAAACATTTGAATCCCACCATTGGGCTCAAAGGATCTCTACCCTTTGGGTCAGTAATCACCCACTCACTGGATCATCCCTCAACTCAGACAGTAGGACAGTAGCACTCAGGTATGGTAGTTAAGAGGTTGGGGAGCTTTCTTTCTTTCTTTCTTTCTTTCTTTCTTTCTTTCTTTCTTTCTTTCTTTCTTTCTTTCTTCCTTTCTTCCTTCCTTCCTTCCTTCCTTCCTTCCTTCCTTCCTTCCTTCCTAATATAACTCTATATTGGTGACAGGAAGGGCATCCAGCCAGTAAACACCCAGCTCCATTCGGTGGCCCAGACTCCACCCTGCAAGGGATTATGGGGTCATGAAAAGAAGATGATTCTACAGGATTCTCCTTGTCTTACAATTGGTTGCTTCGCAGCTGTTGAAAGTTATGATCGTGGCCCTGAAAAAATGACTTACAATCCAAATTAACCGCACCAAACTTGATTGCAGGAAATACGACTTCAGCAATAGAGTGGTCAATGTCTGGAATACTCTACCCGACTCTGTAGTTTCTTCCCCAAACCCCAAAAACTTTAACCTTAGACTGTCTACTATTGACCTCACCCCTTTCCTAAGAGGTCTGTAGGGGGCGTGCATAAGCGCACCAACGTGCCTACCGTCCCTGTCCTATTGTTTCTCTTATTCTTCTTTTATTTTTCTTATATGTACCCATTTCATGTATTCACAACTATGTATACACTTATACTTATTATCTTGTAAACAATTGGCAAATCAAATAAATAAATAAATAAAAATAAATTCAAAGTTCTGGCATCCTGCCCCCCCTTCCCTTCCCATCATCGCATGACCACATTTTGACCATTCGGCAAACATTTGCGTTGCCCAGCAGTTGCATGACCACAATTTAAGACATTTTTTACTGGAACCCGCTGATTATTTCCATTAAGTGGTATGCAGTTTGCTTGCACACAAGTAGAGGTGGCAGATCAGGGTTAAACCTGGGTAAGTTTGGGGTGGAGATGTAGCATACAATCTATTTAGCACTTTGGCAGATTTATTCTCATTTTATTGATTGATGGATTCCATTTATATGCCACCCATCTCATTCTACAAAGTGACAAATTTATGGTGCTGTGGGATGTGGAATTGCAAATATGGAGAAGTGTGCAGTACCAATATAGGTAGATTATATTCAAATCCTCTCTTTATAATCATGGTGTTTTTTTTCTCTCTCTCTCATTCTCTCTCTCTCTCTCTCAAAATTTCTGTACTTATAAATCTGCAGAACATGTAACTATAACGTGATCAACAACTGCATTATAATTTAGACTGAAAATACAGAATAACAGAGCTGGAAAGGACCTTGGAGGTCTTCTAGTCTAACCCACTGCTCAAGTAGGAGTTTCTATACCATTCCAGACAAATAGTTATCCAACATTTTCTTAAAAACCTCCACTGTTGGAGCATTCACAACTTCTGGAGGGAAACAGATTCAGGAGTCCGTTCAAATAAAAAAAATCCACTGAAACCCCACCATCCTTAGAGACATACCAGTCTATTAGAACAAAAATATTCCTAATTTTTGAGCTCTAAGAATTCCAGCAGATGAACTATTTTACTTCCAAGACCAATATATCTCCAAAGCGAACATTTCTTTAATATGGGTTGTTAAGCGTTTCAAACGGTTTTAAAGACCAACTGAAGAGATTATTTGTAGTTCAGGATTGATGTGTGTGTGTGTGTGTGTGTGTGTGTGTGTTGCTCCTTGAGGAGCTTGGTTGTTTCTTGAAGTCATTTCATTACCAAACTAGGTAACATCATCAGTGCTAGAATGGAGTGGGATTTATGCTCTGTTTATATACAGATAGTCCTTGACTTAATTCATTTAGTGACCATTCAAAGGTACAACAGCACTGAAAAAAGTGTGACGCTTTCTCACTCTTATGATCATTGTAGCATCCCCGTGGTCACGTGATCAAAATTCGGACGCTTGACAACTGACATGTATTTATGACAGTTGCAGTGTTCCTGGGTCATGTGATCACCTTTTTCGACACTGCGACAAACAAATTCAATGGGGAAGCCAGATTCACTTAACAACCGTGTTGCTAACTTAAGAACTGCAGTGATTCACTTAACAACCATGGCAAGAAAGTTGTAAAATGAGAAAAAACTGACGTAACAAATGCCTCACTTATCAACAAAAACTTTTTTTTGGCTCAATTGTGGTCATAGGTCTACCTGTACAGATGGATTTCCCTATCAGAATTGGCTGGAGTGTTCTGAGAAGCTTATTTATTTATTTAGTGAATTTATATTGCCGCCTATTCGCCCATGACAACTCAAGGCGGTTTACAGAATATAAAACCTCATATAAAAACAATAAAAGTAATAAAAGAAGAGTCGTATAATAATCTATATGTATAAAAGTGAAAAAGCACTCACGCATCATCACAAAATCTCCAGAACCTTAAAGCCTACAAACTTGAAATTTGGCACGAAATTTGGCTTCTAGGTGCTCACTAAGAAAGGATTTTTCCAAACGACCATCAGAGCATTAGTATTTCTTATACAGTAATTAACATGCTCTGATGCTAAGGAGTTCTACTCCCCCTCCCCACCTGAAAAGAAATCTCTTCCAAAAGCAGAGGAGAGGAGTTTCAGTTTTAGTTTCACAGCACCAAGCAGCTTTAGTACAGAACAGTTGAGCTAAGCCACGCCCAAGCTCCTTGCTGTCTCCTTCTTGCTCACACAGAAAATACTGTTTCAGTTTCCAAACAGCCCTCAACTCTCTCACACACTGACAGGACGCTAGCCAGATGTATACCAATGGATGCTGGTAGGCAGAGGCAGAATTTTGTTCCCCTTATTTTCCTCCCCAAAAACTAAGCCCAACCACATAGTTTTGTAGCGAAGCACGGGTATCAAGCTACCAGTAGTAAATTAATGTAATTAAGATTCCTCAATTGGTGTATTGTTTACTGCTTTTAAAATGAGTTGCTTCCGAGCGCCGTCCTTGCTTTTCTTCGTGCATCTTTCCAAGAATCCAAAAGATTGGACTGCCATTTGTCAGAAATAGTGTAGGGTCTCCCGCTTGGGCGGGGGGTTGGACTAGATGACCTACAAGATCCCTTCCAACTCTGATTATCTGTTATCTGTTAAGAACTTTTGATCCTTCTTTACTGAAGAAAACTCGAAAAGCTGTAAGGAGAGAATTCTAGCAGCTGCAGTGCTGTAGAAACCTCCTTACAGAAATAACAATTTCGAACCTCTCATTCTTGCAATCATGTGCTTGCTCCTTGGTTTCTATCTGCAATTAGCATTGTTCCTTGCTCATTACGATCTCTGGCTGTTTCCCAATTGCCAGGGGGGAAAAAATGGACTGACTTTTCAACCCAGTTTTCTTTTCTCCTTCTTCTCTGACAGGTTTGGTTCCAGAACCGGCGCTCTAAGGAAAGGCGCATGAAACAGCTAAGCGCATTAGGGGCCCGCAGGCACGCATTTTTCCGCAGTCCCCGCCGCATGAGACCGTTGGTGGACCGTTTGGAGCCAGGCGAGCTCATTCCCAACGGGCCGTTTTCTTTCTATGGAGGTGAGTAAGCGTGCAGGATTGGTCCACAGGGAATGGATAGACATCAAGACGGGATGGGAGCCAAGAGATTGGATTTTACGGTTGTGGCCTTCAGCTCTCTACTCTTTTGTTGCTATTCCCCCAGTTTGCACTGGGAAGAGCAGGGACCCATGAAAACCAAAATGTATGGATAGCAGGTTTTAGTTAACAGGGTGATGCTGTCCAGGTAGTCCTCAACTTACAACAGTTCATTTAATGACCGTTCAAAGTTACAACAGCCCTGAAAAAAATAACTTATGACCATTTTTCATAACTTATGAGCCACGGTGGCACAGTGGTTAGAATGTAGTACTGCAGGCTACTTCTGCTGACTGCCGGCTGTCCGCAGGTCGAATCTCACCAGGCTCAAGGTCAACTCAGCCTTCCATCCTTCTGAGGTGGGTAAAATGAGGAACCAGAATGTTGGGGGCAATAGGCTGACTCTGTAAACAGCTTGGAGAGGGCTGTAAAGTACTGTAAAGTGATATATAAGTCTAAGTGCTATTGCTATTGCCACGAGGTTTCGGTTAGTTGGAAAGAAGAATGAATTAGCTTATTTAAGTTTTTTTAAAAAAAATAAACTTTATTTACAAGAATTAAAAACATACAAATTTAAAAATACAAAACCACTAATGTATACATAAACATTCATCTTCACATTTGATATCGAATTTGATACGTCCTAATAGTCATTGCTAACTGATACGTCTCACATTTCCATTTACTATCACATTTTAATCACTAAATAACTTGAAATACTCTTCTAGTAATCTTCTCAGTTCATAACTATTATTTAATTAATAATACATTCATAATTTTTTAAATAATAAATAAAAAGATATAGTGAATATATAATGATAATAATAATAATAATAATGTAGGAGAAAAAAGATTTAACACCTTTGTTATTCTTATATATTTTATCCTATTTAAGTTTAAAGTATGTGCATAGTATATAGTGGAACCTCAGGTTGCGACTGTAATCCGTTCCTGGAGTCTGGTCACAACCTGATTTGGTTGTGTCCGGAAGCACGACTGACTATGCATGGCCGCAATAAAAAAAAATGGCAGTGAAGCGGAAATCGGCGTGGAAAGGGAATCTTTCCACACCGATTTTGTTCGCCACTGGATTTTTGCATTGTGACCCGATTAAAAAATTGAGTGGATTTTTTGTTCGCCACCCAATTTGGTCGCCAACAGAAGCGTTCGCGACCCACGGTTCCACTGTATAAGTCAAAGTACTATTGCTATTTTTCACACTTATGACCATTGCAGCATCCCACCGGTCACATGATCAAAATTCTAATGCTTGGCGATTGGCTCATATTTGTGACGGTTGCATTGTCCTGGGGTCATGTGAACTTCTGCCGAGCAAAGTTAATGAGGAAGCCAGATTCACTTAACAACCGTGTTACTAACTGAGGAACGGCAGTGATTCATTTAACAACTGCAGCAAGAAAGGTCATCAAATGGGGCAAAATTAACAACCATCTCGCTTAGCGCAGAAATTTTAGGCTCAATTATGGTCATAAGTTGAGGACTCGCTGCATCGGGGTTTGTATCAGGGTTTTATTTTTGCACGCCGCTCAGAGTCACCATGAATTGGGGGACTATATAAATTTAATAAATCAATCTCTTCCTTTCCCTTCTCTTCTCCTTTCCCTAGATTATCAGAGTGAATATTATGGACCCGGAAGCAATTATGATTTTTTCCCGCAAGGACCTCCATCTTCCCAAGCGCAGACCCCAGTGGACCTCCCCTTCGTACCCTCCTCAGGACCATCAGGGACCCCACTTGGGGCGATGGACCACCCTTTACCTGGACATCACCCTTCCAGCGAAGCTCAGCGTTTCACAGACATCATGTCCCACCCTCCCGGAGACTCACCTAGCCCAGAACCCAATTTACCTGGTTCCTTGCACTCCATGTCAGCAGAGGTCTTTGGACCAAGTCCTCCATTTTCATCAATATCGGTCAACGGAGGTGGTAACTACGGCAACCACCTGTCGCATCCGCCGGAAATGAACGAGGCTGTTGTATGGTAGCTTTAAACACCAGGAACCTTGTTTTGAAGGCATTTCCATCCTGCGTATACCGAGATGTATAGAAATGAGTTCCAAGAAATAGACATTTTACCCCCCCCCTTCTGCCCTGCATTTATTTTCGCTCTTCCCCCCCTCCCCCCTTCATTTGGCTTAATCTTGGGAATTAATTGAATTATTCAGAGCCCAGGGAAATTTTGCTATAAAAATTGGGGGGGACAATCTTAACACAACAGAATGAAGGAAGACTGCTTTTGTTTTGTTTTGTTTTTGGTACTGAGTGAAAAAGACACTCGTGAAGTGTTTCGATATCGCAATATATAATTATGGGATGGCATGTCCTTGGATGCTCACCACACGATCCCTCTAGGAAATGAGAGGAATAACTTTCCATCAGGAAAAAAGAAACTAGTACTGAAAAAATGAAAAAAAGCAAGCCAAGGTCCATAAGAAGAAGAAAAAAAAAGGGAAAAATGAACAACTTAAAAGAATTCTAGCAATTTTAAAATTTATGATTTTATTGCTTGTTAATTTTGCCTCTGAAAGTTGAACGCAGTTTCACAATGACAAGACTTTTTAAGCCTCTGAAATGCCTCTCAGGCAGACAAAATGTAGTTTATTTTATTGTTCTTTTGGGAAGGGATTTTTGGTTTGTTTTTGGGGGGGGCGGGGGGAATGGGGTGACCAGAGTAACAAATATTTAAATGTTAGCCCTCAGTATCAACTTTCTACCTTCTCCGAGCAACACACACCAATAATCCTCAAAAGACAGAAGTCCTCTTTGACTTTTATGTTTAAAAAGAATGACTTGAAAAAATGAATAAAGTATTCTACCTTCACAAAAAAAATAAAAGCTAAACAAATAACAAATAAAGACTCTATGGAACTAGAAAAAAACAGTCAACTGTTTACGTCGAATGTTAAAATTCAGGAGCTCAATGTTTTACAAAAAATAATAATAATCCTGTTTTAGAACCTCTTGTTCAAAAGCAAAGTATTTTGAGCAATCAACCAAAATCGTTCATCTTCACTTTATTTTTCCTTTGATTTTTTCCTCCCTGTAGATGTAGGGCTTGTGATTCACTCTGCTAGTTTGTTGAGATGGTGTTTACACAAGACAAAAGAAGACATACCTTTAAAAAATCAGATGGTTGCCAAATAAACAATTCTATAGCACAAAATACTTGGGTGGTAGGTACCCACAGGCCAGGAAAATCTTTTAAACCAAGTGTTACAAGGTTAAGGCGGGGTTAAATTAACATCTTTGCTAATGTTTAGTCCTGTTCAACATTACTGGAATTGTTAATATGACTTATATAGACCCGACAGGTTTTATTTTTGTGTCTTTAAAAGAAAATAGTCCAAAATATTTAAATTTTATGATCAAATATGCAGTCAGCAGCTGCTACGTTTTTTTCTTTATATATTAAATTTCTCATAGGTCTTTTATTGTTCAAATAAAGCTAAGCTCGTGTGACCTCCAGTGCATATTAGACCATTCACTGTATGAAAGGGGGGAAAAGTTGGATTAAAAAAAATTTGTGAATTTTTAATAAAACTAGAAAATCTGATATTTAGATAAGCCGTGTTTCATTCAGTGCTTTCAACAAAGTTGTGTGAGTCTATCCAAAACAAATAGGTTAAAAAAAAACGTGGAATTATTTTAGGGAATTTGCTAGTTGTTTCTTAATCTTTGCAACTCTTGATGTATGGACTTCAACTCGCAGAATTCCTCAGTCAGCATGGATTTCTACTCCCAAAATTCCCTAGCCAACATGCTTTAAGATGTGTGGACTTCAACTCCCAGAACCCCCCAGTTAGCTGATAATTAAATTCCACACATCTTAAAGGTGCTAAGTTTGAGAAACTCTGTTTTACATCATTGGTTCTCATTTAAATTTCTGTAAGAATCTAAAAGAAGCTTTCAAGACAATCCAAAGTTTGAGTTTGAGGTTTTTATCATTAAGTCATTTTCCATCAAACTCAGCTGGAATATGACAATGGACATATTTGTGAAATTTTGAAGGGAAACCTAACAAAAGTCTTCTCTTAGTAGTTACAGCTGCAAATACTAATTAGAAAATCAGCAGCTTCCACCTTCTGAAGGTGTCAAAGAGATGAAATTAAATATTTTCCAGATTTCTAACAAGTGAGCTATCCCTATGGTAAGATCTGGTACAAATGGATTTCTATGGCCAATACTGGATGTCATTGGTTCTAGGTATACCTTCAGAGGCAAGACTGGACCTCTAATGCCTAAAGCAAAACTGAGCCCATCCATGGAAACTCAGTGGGTGAGGTTGTGGTGAGGGAAAGCTTGAAAAAATACAGGTAGTCCTCAGTTTACGACCACAACTGACCCCCAAATTTCTGTTGCAAAGTGAGTCTTGCCCCATTTCATGACCTTGTTTGCCACAGTTAAGTGAATCACTGCAATTGTTAAGTTAGTAACACAGTCAATCTTGTGTCAGGATTCCAAGTAATACATCCATAATAAACAAGAGCTCCGAGGCAAATAGGTTTCTCAAAGAATTGGTTTATTGGACATATCATATTGGCATAAGCTGGTGAAAACTGACTCTGAATATTTCCGCAGTTTTCACCTAATTAAAAGTAAAAGTTTCTCTGGCTGTCAGACGACATTGTTCCTCCTCTCCCCGGCCACCTGTGAGAATGTCCTTAGTTCCCAGGAGAAAGTATTTTGTTTTGACTACAAGCCCCCTCTATCTCTATTTCACCCTCCCTCTCCCTCAGCTCCAGTGTGGCAACACTGAAGCCTCAAAATGGCCTCGGTCAGGTCAGCTTCAGGGTTGACGGGAGGCCCCCCATTGTCTTCGCTTGACAGAAGGTTACCAAAGGTGATCACATGATCCCAGGACACTGCAACCATCATAAATACATGCCAGTTGCCTAGCATTCTGAAATTTGATCACCTGACCGCAGAGAAGTCACAATGGTCGTAAGAATGAACTTCCTGTATTCGATCAAGACTTTCCATGGGATTTTTAAAATTGTACATGCATTTGGAAGTTAATTCTTCCTGGATCACAGGTTGTTCTTCAGGAGTGGAAGACTTTCACAATCTGATAAATGTCACATTTCATGAAGACATGGGCTGCAGGGACCATTTCTACAGCAGATTGTTTCTGAGGATCCACAGGCCACTCTCATGCCAAATGGTGGGGTGGCAGAGGACTAGCTAGGCAAGGTCTTAAAAGATGGCACCATGTGCCATGCAACTGGACTGGCCATATAATGACTGCAAAAATCCAAACCTCTAAAACCAAACTATGACTGCTTTATGGTTTGTCGACTTACTCCAGGAATTCCTGAGCCAGGAATTCTGGGAGTTGAAGTCCACAAGTTATAAAACAGCCATCATACCCCACTCCTCTAAAATATCTCTTTGCTACCCCCTCTTTGATACACATTTCTGCAGCCTAGAAGCCATAGGTCTAAAAAAAAGAGAAGCCCAGATGCATCAGAATCTGTATCAGCTCTGTTCAACTCCATACAGGCTCCATGCAGGCTTTCTTAGAAAATATAACTAGTTAATGGTTCCTGCCCAGTAGTGTGTGTGGAACTGTGTCCCTTGCCTGGAGGTGGGGAAGGCAAAAATAATCGGATGTGGTAAAGATGATTGCTGGGCCAGGAAAAAGCCAGCATGCTTTTCGGTGCTTAGTATGGCAGCCATTTTGTGCAAAAGCCATAATCACCCGATCCTGTCTTGGCAGCCATTTTATGGGACACTCCACACAGCATCTCCCCAAATTCCTCAGTAGTGCAAGTGTACAATCAACGTGTACATGTACAAATCTCTATGTGTGCTGTACATGTGAGTCAATGCATACACTTCATTCCAGATGTGCCCATGAGGGCAGTCCAATAGGCCAAGATAGACCTATCAGCAAAGCCCTGCCCCTTTTATGCATCTGGATTTTAAAAGGGGAAGAGCTTTGCATGCTCATTACAAAGGGTAGAGCTTGGGTTCCATGTAGTCATGCTATCTTGTTTATATCAAATAGATAATCAGAGTTGGAAGGTACCTTATAGGTCATCTAGTCCAACCCCCCGCCCAAGCGGGAGACCTTACACCATTTCTGACAAATGGCAGTCCAATCTCTTTTTGAAAGTCTCAAGTGATGGTGCTCCCACAACTTCTGAGGGCAAGCTGTTCCATTGGTTGATTGTTCTCACTGTCAGAAAGTTTCTCCTTATTTCCAGGTTAAATCTCTCCTTGTTCAGTTTCCATCCATTATTCCTTGTCTGGACTTCAGGTGCCTTGGAAAATAGCTTGACCCCTTCCTCCTCTCTGTGGCAGCCCCTCAAATATTGGAAGACTGCTATCCTTCTTCCCTTGGTCCTTCTCTTTACTAGACTTGCCAAGCCCAGTTCCTGTAACCGTTCTTCATAAGCCTTAGTCTCCAGTCCCCTAATCATCTTGGTTGCTCTTCTCTGCACTTTTTCTAAAGTCTCAACATCTTTTTTATAGTGTAGTGACCAAAACTGGATGCAGTATTCTAGGTATGGTCTTACTAAGGCTTTATAGAGTGGTATTAGTACCTCACTTGATCTCAATTGTATCCCTCTGTTAATGGAATTTAGGATTGCATTAGTTTTTTTGTCTGCAATTTAGGATTGCATTAGTTTTTTTTGTCTGTCACTGCACACTGCTGGCTCATATGTAGCTGGTTGTCCACTAAGACTCCAAGATCCCTCTCCCAGTTACTGCTATTGAGCCTGGTTTCACCCAGTCTATATGTGTACTTTTGGTTTTTCTTGCCTAAGTGTAGGACTTTACTTTTCTTTACATTGAATTTCATTTTGATATCAATCTCCTCTACAGATGCCTCTGTCGTTCCTCTCTGTTCAACGCTGCCTCAGGATTGCTGTGTGTCTGTGACTATGTTTGTGTATCAATCCAGCAATCATGCTTACTCTTGGACTCTCCTAACTGCAGCAAAGGAGGCTGATCTACCACAAATAACGACAGGAGGGAATAT